ACAATGGCAGGCTTGAAAGTGGGACCTGCATAGAGTCATTTCCTTGTTATCCTTACCTTTTTCTTAAGCTCTATCCTCCTCTCAAATTTCTGCTTCCCTCCCCGAAGGGAACTAAGGAAACCATTAATTATTCCTTACCATTCTGGCAGGCCTCTAACTTCTCCTTTGGAATTATAGGCCCCTGTTCATTTTCTTTACCCATTTGGCTATTTAATAGTCTATCTTTTCCCTATCTATTTGATGTAGTTTAGGGCAAACTAGGCCATTTGCAATTTGCTTTATATAGTATTTGTTAAAAATATAGTCTATAAAAGTTACTTCTTTATTTAATAATCCAATTTGAATGAATTTTAAATTTTAATCATATTAACTATTTAAACAAATAATACTATTTTAACTTTAGGTTTCTTCCTTTTTTGCAGCTTTTAGAAATTTGATCTGTTTAACACATGCATTTTTAATGTTTCAATATAAGTTAACTGTAGAAAACTCACTAATGAATTTTATTTGATTTGATTACATAACAGCAAAGGAACTATAAAGAGTTAAATAACTTTGCCCTAGTTGGTTTGGCTCAGTGGACAGAGTGTAGGCCTGTGGACCAAAGGGTCTTAGGTTTGATTCTGGTCAAGAGCACATGCCCGGGGTTGCCAACTCAATCCCCAATAGGGGGCCTACAGGAGGCAGCCAATCAATGATTCTCTCTCCTCATTGATGTTCCTATCTCTCTCCTTTTCTCTTCCTCTCTGAAATCAACAACAACAACAACAAAATATATTTTAAAAGAAGAGTTAAATAGTTTTATATGCAAGGTTAAAACTTTCCCAATTCAGAAATGATATATATATATATTTTTATGGAAGGTGGGGGGAGGCTTTTTCTCAAGAGCTCTTATTTCAAAACCCAAATGGGATTTCAAAATACAAGTAAATAAATGTCAAAGCCTCTTGGCCTCTGCTCTGCCATTCCATGCCTGAACACCTGCCAACAGGAAATTTTCCACTCAAGATGGCATTTGCGAAGCTGCTTTTTCAGGGACTCACTTTCTAAAGTAGTGGAAACTTTGTACAACTTCTGATGTCCCGCTGAGTGGACAGACTCTTCTGTAGACTTTTTTTTTTCCCCCTCCACATTGGCAACATTTTCTGGAAAATGAACTTTCAGCCCATCCAGTGTCTTCAGCCTCTAGGTCTCTTGGCTTTCCCAGTGCCAAGCCTAGAAGATAACCAACAACTAAACTGAAAGTTGGTGTCTCCTTAAGTATCACCGTACAAACAGGACAAAAAGAGGACAGACAGAAGAGAAAGGGGGAGAGAGAGGAGGGCTTGGTCCAACAGTTCCCTTGCTAGAAGGGCGCATTCGTCTCACAGTTTCACGTTGTTTGAACAAACCTGAGCTGTAGTGAGGCTGGCTGGCTGGCAATTCATATAACATAATTTTCTGTTACTGTTAAGATCAATTAGTTAAAGGCTGTGTGGATCCAAAGGGGAACAGGGAGCCCCTGCAATACGTACCTAGTAAATGGGGGTTTGGTGCACTGCTGCGGGCTGCCAGTGGGTGGGGAGGAGGAGTGCTCTGAGAGGCCTGAGTGTGTGTGTGTGTGTGTGTGTGTGTGTGTGTGTGTGTGTGTGTGTGTTTAGTGTGCGCGCGCGCGGGGTTTGGGAAATGGAAACTAAAACTGTCAGCCAGCGAACCTGCAGCATTCCTCAAAGCTTTGAAAAGTTAACAGTAAATCGAAGGTAGAACCGAAAACTACACAACATTAAACGAGGAAAATAGAAACCCATCTCCTATTTGCACTTCCCAAAGCATGAATCACAAGTTAACTGGTTTGTGCTTAAGGCTTTCGCCCCCCTCTCCTCAATGCTCTCCCTGTCTCCTTTCGCAGCTTTTCTCCTAGTATGCAGGCCACCCTGGAATTATCCCCCTTTTGTGGGCTTTCCTTTCATTTCGATGTTTCTTCCCCTTCTTGCTGCTCCCAGACTTAAGGTTCCTTCTTTTTTTCTCCTCTTCTAGCGTTTGTTTTGGGACAGGACGGAGAAAAGGTTGCAATACAGAAAAAAAAAAAAAAAAGTTTTGTGGTTGGGGAAACTTGGGCCTTTGTTGTGTCATTTCCCCCCCAGCCAGCCACTCCCCCCGACCACGTGACCAGGCGAGGCCGGAATTTTGTGAATGGAGCTGAGAGGGGGGCCGTGGGGGCGGGGGAGGCCCCGCCTCCTTCCTTAAAGTGGCCAATCCCTGAGCGGAGCGCTGCGGGGTCAGCAACAAACAACAATGGGCTGGGAACCGCGGCGTGCCATTGGCTGGGGCGAGGGCCCGGGGTGGGGGGAGCGCTGGCTGAAGCCTAAGCTCCGCCCCCTCCCCGTTACCCTGGATACCTGTGAGGCTCCAGCTGCAGAGAAGGTCTTTGGAAACTGTTGCTCAGATTACAGAGGCTGGGTTCTCCCCCGGAGTGCTGGGCGGCGGGACACCCCTTGCTATGGGCCCTCCGCCTGATCGCACCCTCAGACAGTACCCAGGAGCCCCCCTATCCCAGCCTCCAGGTCTGGCTGCACCTCGAAGCCCTCCCTGGCTGGGGTTCAAGTGCAGTTCCCGCTCAAAATGCTTGTAAGTGGTGCGCCTTAGCCCCGGCTGCTCTGATGGACTCCTTTCAGACTGCACTTACGTCCTTGATGCCCCCATTCATTTCTCTAGCAATACGTCTTTCTAAAACGTAGTAAGAAAAAAAAATTAAGCAGGGACCTCTCTCCTTCTGGTTGCTGTGGAGCCTTGTGGGCTCACACTCCATTTTCAATGCGTGCCCATACCGTTCCATGTGAGGAAGGAAACTTTCCAATAGAAAACTGCGAACTGAAGCAACAGCCGCAGGAGGCGTCCTTGGGTTTCTAGGTCTCTGGTCGCAGCCGTAAGGATCACAAGTGAGTTTCAGCGTCCTGAGTCCCCGGTCCCATCCCCGCGGCCTCCCCTGTCCTGTGGGGCCGCGGCTTCTTAAGCGATTCTGCAGCTCCCAGCCCCACAGGGAGGGTCAGGGCAAGTGGTTTCCGAGCTTTTTTTTTCTTTGCTTTTTTTTTTTTTTTTTTTAAGCCCTCACTTTTTTTTTTTTTTTTTTTAAAGCCTTAGTCATTGCCCTTGAAACTCGAGCATCCTCCCGGCCCGCTCCCCAACTCTCTGGGCAGTGTGGCTGGGTAAAAGCAGAAGAGGAAGTGGAAGCACCAAGTACAGTAAGTGACACCCTCTGTCTCCGTGTACACATAACAAAAGCGCAGGAAACATGCGGGTCCCTGGGACATCCGAGCCAGCACGCCCCTCCTTCCCTCCTCTCTCCCTCCCTCCCTCCCTCCCGGCACCTCCCTGCCGGCCAGGTGGACTGGAAGCTCCTGTCCCGGGGTGCACGTGGGTGTGTTTGACTTGGATACTTTCTTTCACCTGGATGGCTCCGTGGTCTCCCCCGTTCCCCTCCCAACGCAGCCCCTCCCAACAAGCAGCGTCTCTGCTTTCCCCAGGCTCGGACCCCGTCGACTCCTTATTGTGCTGCCCCGTGAAGGACTTGGATCTTGCCTTCCTTGAGCAAGGCCGTTCAGAGTGTCTTTAATCAACCATAATGATGGTGGTGGGTGTTATAAAACCAACACAACACTCATACACAACAACACACCAAACAAGGCAAAGGATCTCGGGCCAAAAACTTAGCGGGAACGCAGCTCTAGAGCTGGTGGGCTCCCCATCGGGTTAAAGGGGGGGGGGGGTCTGGGGAGAGGGGAGGGAGGGGGAAGCGCGAGTTGAAGGAGGTAAGGGGTGAGTGGATCCGGCTTCCAGGTATGCACCTGGACCGAAAAAAAAAAACAAAACAAAAACATGTGCGTTAGCAAATCAGCCCCAGAACGGACCAGGCTCGCCAGGAAGGGGAGCTGGCGCCGGGCACACATGGATTCCGGGTCCCCGGCGCCTTCACCCTGCGAGGCGGGCTGGGGCTGGGAAGGCGCCGGTTTCCTGCGTGGCGTCGGCAGGCGGGGGACCCTGCGCCCGCGCTCCGAGCACCGGCCGACCGACCGCCCGACCGCCCCACCGCCCGCCCGGGCCGAGGGGCGCGGGGGAGCCCGGAGGAGCGGGGGCGCCAGCAGCCTGATTGACAGCCCGAAACCCGATCTTGTGAAAGAGACGCGGAGCCAATGGGAGGCAGCGATCCATCAGTTTGGCTTGGAGGCCCCTGGAGGAGAAGTAGAGGAAAAACCACCGAATTGAGCTCTTGTCAGAGGCGCTTTCGGCTTCCAAGGGGGGAAGTAGCGGGGCCATAATTAATGTTTTTTTTTTTTTTTAAATTAAATTTGGAGGGGACTGTGTGCAGCGGTTCGCCCGGCGTGGCCTTCAGGTGGGTCTTTCCGGCAACTTTTTTTTTATGTCTCTCCAGGCGATTGCATGGCTGGTGGGTTGCAAAAACTGTCCTGATGGAAAGAGGTGTCTCCGTCTCTCTCTGGTCCCGTTAGGTGCAAAGCGAGTCTCTCGTGGATCGCCATTGCTAGTTTTGCACACGTTTGCGAATCAGAGCTGCCCGGGGTTGCAACCGACCGCGGAGGGAAACATCGAGAGTGTAAATAAATACATCTCCTCTAGTTCAGATGTTTGCTACAGCCGAAAATATGTAAATTGTGAACTCTCTAGGCTTTCTCTCTCTCTCTCTCTCTCTCTCTCTCTCTCTCTCTCTCTCTCTCTCTCTCTCTCTCTCTCTCTCTCTCTCTCTCTCTCTCTCTCTCTCTTATCCAGGTGAAGGACGCTGGTGTACTGAGGGTTATTGTTTTGTGAATGGGAGGAATGGGACAGTCGGAGGGTAATTAGCTATGCAAATTGAAGAGCTTCATTCATGGTTTTGCCCCCCCCCCCCCCCTTAGCCTAAAAGCCATTTTGTTCCCCTCTAGGTTGATAGAAGTCCAGATCCCGAGGAAATCTGCAGCTAAATGCTCCAAATATAAAACACTGGGCTGAGATCTGCGAAGAGCAGCAGGATGGATGGATTTTATGACCAGCAAGTGCCTTACATGGTCACCAATGTGAGTGATCAGTTCCAGAGTTGCTGTTTATAAACTTGATGGGGGGGGGGGGAGGGAAGAGGGGGGAGGAAAAGGAGCGGGCAAGGAGGTTGGGATTGCAGATACTTTATCTGCTTTGTTGCCACTGTAGGGCGACTCTGCTTCTAGAAGCCCAGTCTTCACAATGAGCTTACCTTTCAGTGATTTGGATAAGGCATAGTTTTGTTTTTAAGACCTTCCCTTTTCTGATTAAAGGGCCCAAGATGAGTGGAAGAGGAGATGGAGGGCAGCAGCAGCTGCTGCACTCAAAGTTTTTGGCTGGGTTTGTCTGCCACATTGAAAAGAATGAAGTTGAGACAAATGCTGACACTTTCTGTTTACATGGGCTGTTTTTGTTTCTCTCTCTCTCCCCCTCATTTTCTCTTATATATATATTTTATTTCACCACTCTTCTTCTTCTTTTGTTTCTGATGGGGAGTATCAGAATAAAATCCATTGTATTTTAGTCTAGTTTTGATCCAGCCTAAAATCATCGACTTTAAGTATCATTGCTTAATGCTGTTTTGATGCTGAGATACCATGGATATATGACTAGCAAATAGTTCGTTAGGATCGACACTGGGAAGCTACTAACCTGGCTGTGAATTTTCAGCATAAGCTTTCACTGTGAAATGAACGTAGAAAATGAATACTAGAATCGATACCATAGACTTTGATTTTTATTTAGAGAGAGGATCCTCTAGACAAGTGTATGCATGCATGTGTATTTTTGTGTGTGACTTCTGAGGTTTACGTTCTTTTAAAGGATTTTTATCTTTCCCTTTGTAGAGTCAGCGTGGGAGAAATTGTCACGAGAAACCAACCAATGTCAGGAAAAGAAAATTCATTAACAGAGATCTGGCTCATGATTCAGAAGGTGAGGTTTGATTGGGGGGCGAATCCCTTCCCGTCTTTACAGATTATTGAGATCTGTAAGTCATAAAGAAGAGCAGCAGTTCAACCTTAGCTTAGAAATAATAAAAGTTCAAATGACTGTATTTAACTAAGACTTTTACTTCGAGCAATTAACATCGAGTGACAGTTTGCACCGGGGGATCTCTTAAGGCCCTGTCACAAACTAGTGAAAGAAGAAAATAAAAAGTTAACACAGGCATCCTTCTTTTATATGTAAAAACTCTTGTGCATATGGCATATAAGTAACCCCACACACTAAGGCAACAATTTTAAAAATCCAACCCAGTGGGACCAATTAAACAACTATGCAAAGTGCTTAATTGCTACTTTCTTCATTAGAAGTTAAACAATATAGATGATTATTTAATTTTTCCATCTCCTTTACACGAAAACCATATAAAGTTATAAAACTTTTCATGGATGATTTTGAAGACTCCATGGTGAGGTCCTATATCTTGTTTTATAGGTCTTAAAGAGTTCACTGAATTATAATTAAGGCCTAATTAATAATTGTAATACTTGTTTGGAAAATTAGGTTCCAGATTCTTTTTATGAACTGTTCATAGGAAGTCAATCTATTATAAATTATTCCAGCCATATGGGAGCATTATTAATAAACTTAGATTTAAGTATAAAAATTCAGTTGGCTATTTAGATAAAGTATATTGAATTCTGAAACTTCCTCAAATCCTCATAGGACACCTCTCTCCCCACTATGACAGAATGCAAAATTTTGGACTTGAAATACACAGGTGCCAGGGAATTATCTTTCTTTGACTTTTGTAATCCTATTAATAGAGAAACTTTCCTCTGAACACTTGCATTTAAAAGTTGTTCCTTTTTTTCTTTGAGGCATTGAACCTGAAAAACATAGTACTTTGAGATTTATACCATGTATTATTATATCTCTGATATAAATACAATACCTTTCAGTCTTTCTAAACTTATCTCTATTTTACAAGAGTTGAATATATTTAGAAAAGGTTTTCCATGGACATACCTTTACCTAAGCTTTTTTTTGAATCCTATTGAATATATGCTATTTGGTGTTCCTGAGCTTTCTATTAAAAAAAAAGGGGGGGGGGAGATATTGACTTTATTATGTAGTTGACCAGAAGAATTTCTTAAAGAAGTATTGCCTCATAACCACCAAAATAAGCAGGATTATTGAGATCTGTAAGTCATGAATTATGTTTTCTTATGGACCCCCCTCCCCCCAAATTAAGTTGATATATGCAAGTTTTATGACAAACATTTCCATGTAATGAAACCTAAAGGTTTGCAAATCTTTTATTCCTTTGACTTGTTTTTTTTTTTTAGAACTCTTTCAAGACCTAAGTCAATTACAGGAAACATGGCTTGCAGAAGGTAAGTTTTTTGTTTTGTTTTTAAATGCTTTCAAAGGAGGGGGAAAGCAACTCTAGAAGGGGGGGTGGGGTGGGAGTCCTGAACTTGCTGTCTTAATGTTCAGCCCAATTAATTGAGCTCTAAAAGAGCCACCTCATGTGTCATGCATACATTAGAGCCTCTGATGAGTTTGTCTTTGGGGAATCTGGGGCTGCACTACCCAGTGTCATCACAAATTACCAGGAGAAATTGCTTCCAGCTCACAATCACATCTGCTTTTGGCAAGAACTAATGCACCAAGACTTCAAGTTCTCAGCCTCTGTTCAGATTTTAATTGCAATTGATCAGGTTTATATTATTGTACCTCCAGAGACCTCCTAGAGCCAGAACCCGGCTAGCTGTTTCCTTTAGAGCAGCGCATATCATTATTTGGTGTTCTGGTGGAGGAGTTTTCTGATGGCAGAAATTAGTTTCTCTGGGCTCATCGGGACGGGATGCTTCAGGATTTAAGTGCCAGCGTCTTCTTCCCACCTTGCTCACAGCACAGAACCATAGGTGTGTATCCAACGCTTAGGAAATCTATGGCTTGAGGATAAATCTTTGTGGCTCTGAGGAATTTTAAGCTGTTTTCTGTTTGTTACTGTTATGTGATGTTTGTTGAAACTGACCTTGGTTATGATGTTACTTTTATGAGGGATTTATTTAAGATAGCAAGGGGACGTTTAAAGGCATGGCTTTTATTATTATTATTTTTTTATTACTTTTTGCTAAAAAAAATCCTTGCTGCAATCTATTGTACCTTGCGTTGTGGAAACTTTACAGGCACAGTGAGATAGTGCTTCAGTACAGCTTGATACAACTTGGGAAATGCCGAATGGTGAGGGATTTTTGTCGGTATTCATAATTTGAAATTTTTCTTTTGGCTTTGTGAAATACTAAGTTTATCCTATGATGTATTTGGTGGAAAACAAAGACAATTATAGGTACTTAAGTACTGTGTATAATTGCTTTTTTTCTCTCTTTTTTTTTTTTTCTTCTTTTTTCTGTCTTTATATGGGATACATGCACTTTTTGGAACATATTTTTAAGATGGTTAAAAGAGGAGAGAGGGTCTCTTTCAATGGAAGCTGAGTCTTTCTGTGGCTATTTGGGGCTGACTGCTGTGTTTTATCAGTGGTCTTGTTTTCAGTTGATCAAGTTGCTGTTAGCATGTAAAATAAGTTTCTTTGTTTTGCTGATATTCTAGTTCTCCAAAAAGCTTTTGCAATATTTTTTAACCTTTTAAGTTAAATAGCTTTCCTGGTAGCCCTTCCAAAAGGGTGATTGTATTTGTATATTAATGAACGGTAAGTATTAATAAAAGTTTTAGTTATATTTAAAGGTCATTCTGCTTGTCTCTGTAAATGAAACTTTTTGCAATAGACTACTTATTATTGCAACATAAGCCATATATTTTAACGTAACTTTTTCAAGGAAAAATTGCACAGAGGTTCTTGTATTAACTTTTTACTGTTAGTTTGCAAAATTGAAGCTTTCGAGACCATTATATTTAAGAAAGAATTTATTCACTTTATCCAAAATAATTAAAAATATCTATTTAAATTGTCCTGGAAGCTGGGTTTGTTCTTTAAGATGTTTTAAGTCTCCTTCATTCCAAGTCAGTGAACTTGCTGGCTGATATTGAATGTGCATAGCAACTCTGTTCCTGGAATTTTAAAATGTGGAATCTGTGACAGACTCTTACCATTTTATAATCAGTTTTAGTACTTTTTTTTTTTTTTACTTTCAACTTATTTGTTTGTCTCTCGGATAAGTAATTTGCATAATGTATCTGAGTTTACCTTTTCAAACTCCGCACTGACTATTCTCAGTTATTCACATACCTGTAAATCAAATCTGAAGAGTTAGCTTTATATAAAATAAACCCAGAAAATGACTCAGATATTTGAAGGAACATGGACTTTCACTTAGAAAAGAATTCATAAGGTTAAGTAAGTTTGGGAATTAGTTCTCAGACTGTTGTCTTAAATACTAAGGTGGGCTTCTATAAACACATTATGGATACAATTTTTTCAAAGTAGTTTACATTCATTTCTCCTATCATGCTATAAGCAAAAAAGTGGTTAACCTGATTTATTGAATACAATAGTGAGAAGAGATATTTGTTAGTAGACTGCATATTTTTATTTGTAGCAAATATATATATATAAAATTATATTTGTGTTAGCATTTTAACTTGATTTATTGGTATCTTGAACAATATTAGCTAAGAAGAGATTCTCAAAATTGCACTAGTTTTTTTTCATAGCTGGATTTGTCCATTTATGTCCCTCTGGACATCCAGAAATGAAACCATTGCCAAATTGGCTGACATGAACCGTTTACATATTTCTTTTTATAATGCTTTGTAGCCAAGAAACTGACCATGGAATTTTAAAGCATCTTGACCCTTTTAAAAAAGATCATTGGCAATTAACCAGTTTCTTCCATGAGTTAGAATCCCACTGAGAAGTTAAACAGGTCCAAAAATCTTATTGGACCTGAGAGTCAAGTTAGTTGTCATGTGTCATATAAAAATAGTGTTAAGAAATTATCAAAACCCTTATGTACTTGAAAGATGATATATCCTACCTAGCATGTTTGTTTTTCCCTATAGGAAAATTTTAAGTTAGACCCAAAGTGCCACATATGGGTTAGTCTTAGGTAAATTATTATGGAGTAAGAAATGTGTTTTATGTCTAAGGAGAAATTGGGATAAGGCAGGACTATTAGAGGGTGGGGTTGGAACTAGTTGTTTCTCAATTCACTAAAGTTATCTCTAAAAATAGAATTCCATTCTGAAAGAAATTCATTTCCTGAGATCAAAAATATGTTTGTGAATACTGTAACTTTATATTAGGATAACTTTCAAAGTACTGACACCGCAGTTAACACTAGAGTTGAAAGATTTTTAACATAGATCCCACAATTTAAAATAATCACATTTCATTCTGAAAAAAAACTGAAAAGACAATGTTTCCAGTGACACAGTAATAAAAAAAGAATATGCCTATTTTTAAATTTTGCTAGAGCTGCTTTATATTGTAATTGTAACTATGTACAATTCTTTATTGATTCTTTGTCTTTTGAATTAGATTGCTACTGACAGAAAGACAATTTCAATTATTTGATCCCATGAAATAATGAGTTCAAATATCAATCCTGTCAACATCATAGTCATGTCTTATTCTTAACAACCTGTTTTAAGTGGTACTTCAGCGAATGGTGTCCTAGAAATTCATAGTTAAATGGACCCTTTTGTGTGTGGGGCGGGGAGGGGTGGGGAGAAGTGGGGGGTTGACAGAAAGAGAAGGATGTGACACTGAGTTTTAAAAGGATTGCATTCTTCTAAAGTTTGTTATTAAAGCTTACCTACTAACACACTGGAAAAGACAAGTCATACATTTCATGCAGATTAAATGTAAATAAGTAGCAACTTTTGAATGTTGTTTTTGCTGCTGCTCTAGATGTTCTTGCGATTCCCTTTCATGAGTAACGTTAGGGAAAAAAGTCAACAGCGACTCGCTGCCATCAGGGCACAGTTTTGCAGTGGTATTGTCCTAAGTCAGGTCTCACCCTGCCACCACACTTGAGGCAGAGTTTCATCTTCAAGAACCACCTTTCCACACCAGAGGTCCTTACAGCAGGCAGATAAGGCTGTTTTTCTTTCTGTCTCTTTTCTTTTGATTCCCACTTGACCTTCAAATAATCAGGTTGACGTAAAAGTAGAGACATTTATAATGATGAAGTTTCTTAAATAATACCTTATACATATTGCCACCCAACAGTAGTCCATCACAATGTACTCATTTTAATTTTTTAAAAAGTATGCTGTAACTTTTTAAAAAGGAACAAATTGGATGTGCTCTTGAATGTTTTTTATTTGTTTGTTTGTTTTTAGGTGAGGCGGTAGGAAATAAAAGCTTTAAAATGGCATTATTTTTATGAGGTTTACAAAAAAAAGGAATTGAGAATTTAAGCATTAAAGCATGGAAGTCTATGTTATTTATTAGAATTGAACAAGAGTGTTTTTTTTTGTTGTTGTTGTTTTGTTTTTTTGAGGGCTACCACTCCTCTTTGCATTGTACCAGGAAATTCTCTGAAATGTGAAAGAAAGGTCTATTGTACTTGATTAAAAGAGAGCAGATAGAGCAGGTAGAGTAATAATGGATTATATTTTAAAGTATTCTTTGAAATCATATAAATACCTTTCATCTAAGGTCTACTTGCAAAATAATGTTTTTCAAGAGTAGAATTTGGATAGGTTGTAGCTTATAATATAGTTTTCCCAGAGGGCCATAATAAATGTTTATGAAATATAGCTAAGCTTTTCCAGTTCCGTTACTGAAAATGTGTAATTTCTTAGAGTTTATAATATAACTTGATTCCATTTGACCTGTGTATAAACTTGCAGTTAAGAAAATCATCACCATCATCATTATCATCACCATGACCATCAGGCCTCTGTAGAGAAAATAGTTGGCAAGAAACAGATCTGAGCGATCCTTAAGTTTTTCAGTCACTACAGGTCAATTTGGAGTTAGAAATTGAAGCCAGTTTTAGACTAAAAGACAACTAAAACTTACTGTTTTCTTTCTTTTAGAACATACAGGATATCTTGAGCGAGTCTGAATGATGTTTCTATCCTGGGGAAGTAGCCCCTTTATCTGTTTGGATATGTTTATACTTCTGCATTAATTAATGCTTACACACTGGAGCAATCATTTTAATGTTAAAAGCGGATGTGGTATAAACCCAGGCTTAGTGGCCTCATGATTATTTTATTCCATGGCCTGAAGCTTCATTTTAGCATTAAACAGAATACCACTGTGCAAAGGTTGATTTTCTTGTTTTAATTTTACTTAGAATTTTTCCTTTCTTGGAGAAAGTTGTTTTTAACCCTCCGTTCAGAGTGAAATGCTACAAAGTTAGCAGCACTCTTAAAATCTTGGGATAGAGAAACTTTGAATAACAGGCCAAAAAAAAAAAAAAAAAAAAAAAAAGGCATTTTTCAAAATGCTTTTTCTCTCTCCTTTCCTCCTTCCTTCTTTTTTCTTTGCCTCTTTCCTTCCTTGCTTTTTAGTTTTGTACATTTACGGATCTGTGGCACGTTACCTACGAAGTAGGGAGAATAAATCTATGGAATTCATTTTTAAGCCTGTCACTTCTTTAAACGTGCACCTTCCTGGATCTGAACTGCACTGGAGATAGAGCGAGAGAACAGTGTTTATACTGTAAGTTCCAGTTGACTAGCTTTCTCTCCGCAGAAGGGCGTGACATGAAAAGATTGTGGTTGGGCCGCATGGCTCACGCTGGACTGTGTTTTTGTGAATGGAGGCAGAACTCCAGCTCTGCCTGCTCGTCTGGAGGAATTGCTGAGGAGATCAGCTGTCTCATTCAGGGGCAGAAAGAATGACTCATACATCTTCCGCCTTGTTTGGCTCCAGGTCATTGTTACAGTGGATAGAACTGGTTTTAATTAAAGATTAACCCCTTTGATACTTGACGTTTGTTTCATTTGTAATTTTTCCACTTTTCTCTCTGGCTTTCAGAGAAACCCAACAGGCTCCTAGTTTGTAAGGAAAAGGTGTGGCTTTTTTTTTTTTTTTTTTCCTTTACCTGCAGCCAACCTTGGAAAATATGTAAATGCTCACCTTTTCTTAAGTAATGATTATTATTCCATTTGCAAGGTTAAACTATGCATAAAATAAAAGCAAACTAAAAACTGCCCTGCCCCCCTTCCTCCCCAGGAAATGTTAAGAAAATATATTAAAATGAAGCACGAGGGTTAGTAATTCTGTGGCATGATGACTGTTTTCATCAGTTTCTTTATCATGATATATGTTGCTATGTAGTAAAAGGAGAGAGAGAGAGAGAGAGAGAGAGAGAGAGAGAGAGAGAGAGAAGAGAGACAGACAGACAAGACACAGGCAACTTTGGATAATAATCTAGGTGAAGCCAATAGCAGGATGCAGATACCCTCCTTTGAAAGCAGAAGTCCTGAGACTTGATGGCAACTTATCTATTAATGTGCAATGATCCCATAGAGCCGCTCCAGCTATTACCAATAACATCCACATGCTTCATCTTCTTGAAAGCCTTTTATTGGTCTTTGGGCATATACTTCCCCCTTCTTTCCTCCTCTGCCCCTTCCTCTTTAATTACGGAGCGTGTGCAAACATTTTCATTCCGCGAAGGTGATTATTCCAAGCGTAGTTATCATCGATAGTTGGGAAAAATACCCCTTCTTAAGATTTTTTTTCCCTTTAGGTTGGCCTCTATTGTTAACTTTCCACTTTGGCATTAGTATGACTTGTCACGAATTTTCAGGCAGCTATATAGTGTGCTGCCTCACAGAATTCCCATGCATTGAGGGGAAGAAAGGAAATGTATTCTACGAGTGTGGCAATACTTTGTCATATTTTCCTTGTCCGGATCCAACTGGTGCTTTTCGTTAGCTGCTTCCCTTTTACTCTAACTTTATATGAGAGGTAGAGGTAAGCCTCCGTCTATTTCAGTGGCCTGCTGTTTCACTGGGCCCATTCAGTTTCTGAAGATCAGCTTCTGTGAAATATGTGAGTCATGTGTTTTTTGTTAAAATTCTGTAATATGTTCAAGCACAAGTGTGAAGTGTTTATTCAGCATGTTAAAGAGTTAGAGCAGAAATAGCAAGTTTTATTCTTTTTACAAATTACTAGTCTGCAGCTATTTTCTGTAGACTTCTAGTTTTCTGCTCTTCAAGTTGTGCCTTTTCTTTGCATACATTTCCCATCACGCAGCTCACATTCATCAGAGATTTTTGCGCCCTTTCTGGAAGTGATCCTTATCATGGAGTTGTGACTTTCTCTTCTCATAGTAAAACAATAAATAAATAAAAAGTCTGGCCTTTAGGACATTCATGCCAGCATATTCAGTTACCAATATACTTTCGTTACTCAGGGGCTGTTTTTAACTAGTATTCCTGTAAAGCGATATTACATTTTTATTAGGTTCTTGTAAGTATTTGGCTTTTTAACAGCATAATAATTGTTGTGGTTGATAATTTTTGTGTCTCAATAGTTACGTCTATTTAGCTGTTAATTGAAAAGGATAACCAAAACATGTGGATATGATTGGAAAAATATGTAGGATTTGATCCTGTCTACCTGCTGTTAGTTATTAAATAGATATTAAAAACATTCTTGTAATTTTTTTTGGTGTGGAGGCTTATTTTAAAGGGTACTCTTCTCATTATAATTTGTGCATCTATAAGAAAACCCAAGCTCCCTGCAACGCAAGAGAGATGTTTGTAGCTAAGAGCATGCCAAGGTACAAATTTCAGCTGTTAATTTTTTCCATGCCTAATGTAATTCATTAGAAGTCAAGATATTAAACCTGCCTTATAATGATTGAAGCAGTTTTATTGTTGAGGGGGAAAAAATGAGTGGATGGTGGTAAGTTGAAAACAACATTTCTTGAGTAGCTGGCATTGTCTGGCATTTTATTCAGACTATTTCATTTAATCCTCACCAGAAATCTCTATTACTGATATGGAGCTGGTGAGTAAAAGGGAGTTCACTGAGGTTAAATGTTACACAGTTTACGTAGCCAGCAAGTCACTGTGATTTCCAGTTTGCATGACTTTTGTTAGTTAGGTATCAGATATTAATGGACTATGAATAGAATACCCTTCTTCAAACATGGACTGAAGAAACAGGCTTCAGTTCTAATCTGGAAAACGCCCTTAATTGGTTTGGTTTCGTTTTGTGGCCAAGAATGAGATTTGTCTTTAATAAGTTTAAATATTGGTGGCCAGAAGAAAGTTTTTATAAAATGGGTGTCAGACTCCGTATATTTTGATAATAGGCAAAATTACCATTGGTTCTGTTCTTAATATCATAAGTTTTATTTAACCAAATAATCCTGTTTCTAAAAATACTATTAAATAAGCTGGTAAACAGAGCCTTTAATTATATGTATGTGGTAAACCTCTTTTATTAGGCTTTTTAAATATAGAATTTATTTTTCATGTTCAATTTTTTCTTAATTGAATTGCCAAAACAAAACATTTCTCAACAGAATGATTACGTTAGTACTCATCCCCCATACAGAATAGGCTCTTAAAAAAAAATCAGTTGACATTTGTTTAAATGTGACTTGATTGAATAAAAAGGTTCACTATCACATACTATTAGTAAAGTAATACTAGCTAATACAACTGACATTAATTAGGATGATAGTTCATTACATTTTTACCAAATTAAAAGTAACCTCACTTCTATTTTATGTGGTTATATATGTGTGAGTGTGCACATTAGTGGCATGTGAAAACTTGTTTTTGTAAAATTCTGTCAATTTGGAGCAGGCTTTTTTGATGTCTCAATCAACCATGATGAAAATATTATAGAAGTGAAAAAGTTTACTTGTGTTTTAATCGCTGCAAGTCCTTGCTATTCGGTAATTCTTCCCCTGCTAAAAATAGGGAAGTTGTTTGACATTAAAGCCTGATGAAATAATGATGTTTCTTTGTGTTAATTCTAACTAGTAACAGGAAAATATTTTGCATGAAAAGATGGAGTTTGTTTGCATTGTTATAACCATTGTCATTGAATTATAACACTGTATAATGTAGGACCAAAATAGATGACAATAATTTAAGAAACTTGGTTGCATATTTTGGCCAAATTTGGGGCAAACATTTTTAATTGTGGTAGTCTAATTTGCAATAGATAGAACTTGCCAAAATCAGACAATTTCTAGATAGCAGAATCCCGAGAGATGTAATAACTGCACATTATTTGAAAGAATTATATGGTTACTTCAAATGGCTGCTTAAGTCCTGGCAGCGGGTAAATTGAAATACCCTTTATTCCAAAAGCATATATTTTACTCGCATAAAGAAACACTGCAGCTGATAGAAATTCTATGGCTTCTTTTACTTTATATGTCTCTCTTATTTCCGTCTGGCAGGTGAGATTCAGAGGGACTGCCACCATTGTATTTCTGACAGACATATTTTCTAGTTGACAACAATGATGCTGCTGAAATTTTCCCTCTCCAGTATTGCTGCCAATCCCACTTTAAATAGAGGCTAATTGGCAAATAACCATAAATTTTATCCCAGCCTAAAAATACCTGGCATGGAAGATCTTACTTGACATTCCTTAAGTCTTGGCAGTTTTTCTCTTAATTATTATTTTTTTAATTTTCTTTTTTCCCTTCAGCTCAGGTACCTGACAATGATGAGCAGTTTGTGCCAGACTATCAGGCTGAAAGTTGTAAGTATAGTTTGACTCATCTCTTACATTTTTTTCTCTGTCTTCCTTCCTTCTCCCATTCTTTCTCTTTGGTTTGTTTCCACTTCCAGTGTTTGTTCTTGCAGTGTGTCAGTGCCTTTTTAGCTCCCAGTCACGAGGTGATGTGATTTGTCACACTGTGGCATCAAGCAGAATCCCCCTGTGATTTGAGCAAAGCTCCGAATAGTAGCTCAGGAGAACTGATTGGATTAAAAGATGGTCCTATTCTCTGTGTTTGGTCGGTATCCTTGGAGAAGAAATGGGGAGATCCAGAACATACAAGTGTTTACTTTTAGTCTTTCAATATCTTCACAAAGACAAGTCTGGATGCTGATGGAAGACAGTCCATCATTAACATCCATGAGATTATTGTTATATAACTTACAGAAATGCCAGGCCCAGCATTCATTGGCTTACTGTAGTTTTTGCATTCATGAACGTTTACCTGCTTTGGTTGAATTTTAGCCAGACTGTCTGTTCCTGGTCGCAGCAACAGAAATGGGAGCACCCAGTAGCCCCTCTTAGGGTCCCTTCAGTGTTTCTCTCCAGGAGTCTTGCTGGTCAGAGGCTGCGTGGAGAGGGATTCTTGGTTCCTCTCCCTCCTGTGACTGCAGAGTGAGCTTTTCACCTGTGCAAACATGGTTGTCTTGGGATTTACTTCTGATATTTATGCTTTGCCTTGACCTGAGGTGCACAGTAAAGAAAGGGGTATAAATGCCATCTTGCTTATGAACCTGACCTAATACATTGTTATTTTGTTAGCACCATGGAAAGCCCCAACCTCCTTTTTCCAGACCATTGACCTTTTCACAGTCAGGAGGCTGCATCATCCACAGGAACAACGTGTGCTTAATACCTTACAACCTATAAACCCATGTTTCCCCCACCGAATATCATAAATCTAACAGCACTACGCACGCTACTTCAAGTAACAGATGTTTGCGAGCATTGTTTTCAGCTTTTATGTTTGGTATCTTCACTGTCCCATGTGCCAAGATTTGTAAGAGGTTTCTTCCAGGTTCTCTCCCAGATTACGTTTTAGTTTAGCTTCACTGAAAATATTTTTCCTGTTGTGGTAAAGTCTATGTAACAGACAATTTGCCATTTTAACCATTGTGCAGTGTGCTGTTCAGTGGCACTCCCATTGCTGTGCAAACATCATCACTACCCGTCTCCAGAACTTTCTCACCATCCCTTATAGAAACTCCATACTCACTAAAAAATAACTTCATAGAGAAAAGTCTGCCCTCAGCCCCTGGTAATTGCTGCCTTATCAGCTTGGTTTTTGATAGGAAAAGAGAATAGAGTTGCTTGATGTCTGAGTATAATTATTAGATATTCTATTTCAAGAAACCTATACAGCAATGTTGTAGACCTTAATTAGAGACTTTTAGAAACTCCCAGAAGGATGATAGCTGGATGATGGCTAAGCAAGGAAAGCCTCCCCTTCATTAAAGTGTGGGAAGAGAATGGTCATATTTCCAACATTTCACTTCCTCTGGGGTTCTGTGTTTTTTTTTCCCCCCCCTAAAAGATAAACGTGTCATCTGAGTGGGAGAATTCCTCTCATTGAGTCATTTTACATCTGAAAAATTGGTAATGATTCCAACACTATGCCAAATGCCAGGGTAAAATAACTACCCTAAAGTAAAAATTTTTTACTCCTTTTCTTAATTGATCTCTTTTTAGTTTTTCTTATTCTTCACCATTTGTCTCCTTGACGTATCTTCTCTTGGTCACAGTGGCATGATTTTCCTTTGTCTTTATACGCCTTTGATTCCTCCCTCTCCCTCTGCCCATCTTCTCGCTTTCTCTTTTCTGAGATCTTGTCCCCACACCTTTCCTCTTATCGTCCACAATCCCATAGAACGTTCCGTGATGAAGGGAAAAATCTGTATGTACCAGTTGATATCGTAGTGGCTGATCACATTGGTTACTGAGCACATAACTGTGGCTACTGAAATGGATTTTTAAATTTAATTATTGTGACTTTATATAGACATGTAGCTATTGGCTACTGTGGTGGCCAGCACAGTTCTGTATAGCTAGGTCTCCAACATTCTGATCTCTAGCCGGGGTCTCCCCTCTACTTTGTCTACCAGATATCTTCCCTAAAACACCACTGGGTCCTTATGCAATTAGAAAAATGCAGCCCCTCTGGACTCACCCCCTCAGCTGATTGTCCACCAGTGTGGTGGCCCACAGAGAGCTGACGTTCTGTAAGACCAGTGTTGATACCATTGTTTTTCTCTTTCACTCCTCTTGCCTTTCTAAGTTGATGGCATCATCACCCAAGTGGAAAAATGTTTGATTTATCCTCAGTCCTCCCAGTTCTTTACCATTAACTTCAAATTGCTTACCGAGTTGCCAGTTCTATCTTTTAAAATTACCTTGATTTCATGGCTTTGTTCATCTCTATTTACTTCCTTAGTTCACACCCAGTTTCTCAAAGGAACTGGTGAACCAGCCCTTTGATGGGCATCCTTGCCTTCAGTTTCCCCTCCTTTCAGTCCACTCCCTGCAGAGGCATCAACACACAGCCATCTGACCTTGTTACTTTCCCCCTACAACTGCCTTCAGTACAAAGTCCTAATCCTTTAGCTGTCCAGAACATCCTTCTATAATCTAAACCCTGGACTACGCACTATTTTAGTTTAACTCCTGCCACCCCAGCACCTTGTCCCTCCCCATTCTCTGAGCTTGAGCCCTTTCAATCTTTCAGTTCCCCAGAGTGAGCTCTTGTATGTCTCTTTGCCTTTGCACATGCTCATTTTGCTTTAGCCATTTTTACTTTTGCTTTGCAGTCTGGTGAGCCGCCTACTTCCGACTTGGTTTAGACTTCATCTCATTGAAATCTTTCTTGACCTCTTCTTTGCCATCTTTACCCTGCTGAGTTAGACTCTAACATCTTGTCTCTTGTGTTTGTTATATTATATTTTAGATACTTGTCTTTCTTCAGTACGATTGTGAACTCTTCAGGATCAGTAGTGTGTCGTAGTCATGCCTTTCTTGTTCTAAAAGCACAATAAGTAAAATTGTCATCATAATCACAATCAGCCTCTCCAAGGTATTTTCAAAATCCTAATTCCCTTCTTAAGGTAGAAACATATGACCATTCTTTAAAGCATTATATATATCGTTCTGGAAAAAAATATGCTGAAACCATGAATGTTTAGCCAAACATTTTTAGAGTGCTGAAATTTTATTTTATTTCAATTAGTGGGTATTTACAGTTTAACAAATATGGCTCTGGGACTGTGAATAAAAAAACCTCAATTTAACGGCAACTTATAAACAAAGGTAAAAGGAAATCTCAAATAGTTTAATAAAAAAAAAAGTGGAGGTGTGTTTTATTTCAAGTTTTTGCTGACATAAAGGACTATTGTTCTGATGATGGTGAACAGCAGTTTCAACCTTCATTCTGCATGGAACAAGAAGGAAATGGTTTAAAAAGAGGAATAGGGTATATGGATTAGATTCTAAGGAGGATTTCTTGATGGAGAAGGTTATCAAATATTGGAACTGAAAGCTTATATTGTCTCCTAAATGCCCTTCACAAATGTTTGATTCTTGTCTGGGAATGCTTAGTGGGGCAGAGGGATCCTGTCTCTAGGAATAGAAAGAAACTTCATCCCCGCTGTGTGGCCTGTCTATAAATTCTATGGGGCTATCTTTGCAAACCCGAATAATCAGATTTCCTTACATACCTCAATCAAATAAAATGCTTCTGTTTGGGCTTTTATTGCTTTAGCCCTTTGGTAAAATGTAGGTTAGGAGAATGAACTGCAAAATTCTGTTTAATACTGGATTAGAGAGCACCCATTTGACTTTAACATGGATGAATATGTGTAGCAAAGGAGAGAAGAGAGCATTTAGAAATTGTGAAAGTGAGATTAAGCCACAAGCATTGAATACCCTCTAAAGACATTCCCAAGCATTCTTCATTTTTTATTGAAAAAAAAAAAAGTCAATTGGAAATCTAGAATTTAAGGATGTATACTATAGCTTGCTAACCTTTGAAAGATGTGGACTTTTAAAGCACATACCCAGGCTTGAAAACAAGCAAACAAAAAACTCCCTATAAGTGTATCCTAGGATATGAGTGAAGGTTAAGAGAGACAGTTACGTGGCTGTGGCAAATAGTTCTTGACAAACAAAGCTTTTCAGAACTCAGACATGCTGCTGAAAAATAAAGAATTACTTCAGGATATGCTTTACTTCCAGAGGAAGTAAAGGTATATATATCGCCAGGAAAGAGAATTTAAGAAGTATTTGAACCTACAGGAGCATTGTTTTTCCTAAGTCGATACAGATTTATACACAAACTGATTTTTTTTATAAATCTTGTTTTAAATTTAATACATCAATAAGCTTACCTATTAAATAATATACTTCAAATTTAGTTATATCACTACTGTTTTTCAATTTCCCACCTCTCATTTCTTCATTACAAAGTTATGTGTTATGATTTTTCTAACTAGTTTGTTCCCATTTGTACTTTTCGATGTTGACGGTGCATCTCTCCAGAGCAGTCCCAGAGGTAGAACCAGGATTTTGCAAAATGCCCAGCAGGATAGATCCTTGCCACTTCTCTCCTTTCTCTTAAAATCAGGCTAGAACGCGAGGAATACAAGTCAATGAGAATGTCATTCAAGGAATCATAACCTTGACTCTGATATATTTATGAAATTAAATATTTAAAAAGTTGGCAAATTTCTGTCCTTGAACTGAACTTTGTAATAAAATCCTAGTGACCCATCTGAAAATAATCGAGACAAATCGGGGTGTGGAGGCACACATGTTTAAAGCCACTATTACTCGGTGACACTTTGTCCAAGCAACTGTGTGTTATTTCTATGCCTTATTTTATTAGGCATTAAGTTGTACAAAAGAATAGTGTTTTGGGTCTTTTTTTTTTTTTTGCAGTGGAGTGGGGGAAAATATGTCAGGTTACTGTTGCAAAAGCTGAAAATGAGACCAGG